CCTGCTGCTGTAGCTACTGCTGCTCCTGCTGCCGCTGCTGGTGCTGGTGCTGCTGCTGCTGCTCCTGCTGCTGCTGCTGCTGATGTGCCCTCTCAAACCGCTCACGCTCCTCCCTCTCCAACCGGAGGAGACGCTGCTCACGGGTCAGGAAACGTACAGTGCGAGGTGTAGGCGCCACAGTGCCAGTGCCTCCAGCTCCATCACTACCAGAACAAGCACCTCCACTAGCGACACCCCCGGGGCCTCCAGTACCTCCCGTAGGAGCACCCCCAAGCTCCGCAGCAACCGGCCGCAGAGGAGAACGAGGAGGGAACTGCGGGACGACCGGGAAGCCGGGGGGTGATGAGGGGCGAGGCCACCGACTCGAGGCTGCCGTGTCCTCCACAGGAGTGACCTCCACGCCCACACCCACTGCACCCCCTGAACCAACACCACGAGCTCCTGCAGCCCCAGCACCCTCACCCTCCGCAACTGCACCTCCCGCACCCCCAGACACGAGAGGGACTGGACGCTGCGGGGGGGACGATTGCGGAGTGACGTGCGACACACCTGACGGGGCAGGACGCGAAGCGGGGGGGGCTACCGGGGCGTCTGGGGGGGGCTGATCCCGGGTGAGGTGCCTGGAACGGGTGGGGCAGCAGGTTTCCAGGTGGGGCGGCAGTTGTCAACTCTGGGGCGGCGGTTTTCAGGTCTGGGGCGGCGGGTCTCCAGGTTCGGCGGGGGATTTCAGGTCTGGGGGCCGGTTATGACGGTGGGCTGCACGTGCGCGCGGCTACGACGTACTAGCGCGGAGCTGCGGGTGCGACTAAGGCTGTGCGCACAGCTACGCGCGTTCGTCTGCTGCGCGCTAGAGGGCTGGGGGGCAACACGCGGGGTAAAACGAGTGGGGCGCGGGGTAGAAAACCGAGTGACGCATGGCACAAACGGGTGGGGCGCAGGGCAGAAACGGGTGACGCACGATGGCAACGGGGGGGCGCAGCCTACTCGGGCTCTACGCGGCAGGGCGCTTCGGGCTACGGGTCGCTACGAGGCGCGCGGGTGGTGGGCCCATAGACTATCGAGAGAAATTTCGCCTAGGGGAAAAATCGCCTAGGGGAAAAATCACCTAGGGGAAACCTAGCTCTATACCATGTTACGATAAGAATGAATTGATAGAAAAATGTGAAGTACAACCCTAGATATAGCAAACCCTAATCATGCAAGGAAGTAGAAATGTAACACCTAGACTAACCTAAACAACACATATAAAATATATGTTGACAGCCCTCACCCCCCTCCCCCACTCCCCTTTTTGTGGCACCCAGCTGATGGCTCCGCGCCCCTTCGCCCTCGTCTGCTTCCGCCTCAAGCCGCCCACTGCTCGCACACACAGTGGGGTGGCGTGCACAGGGGTGGGCGAGGGGAGAGTGGGCGACGAGGGGTCGGTGGGCGAGGGCAGCCGGATGTGTGAGAGGTGTTTGCACTAGCAGGCAGTTGAGTACATATAGGAAACCCTAATTTGGGCTGTACTCGCTATAGAGTACCCCACTGCAGGCTAGACAAATATAACATTCTGACACACCCCCATAGCCAAAGTGGGGTGTAATCAGCACAACAAGCATGCAAAGCAGTAGTTCACAATGATAAGCAAAGCTAGAGGCTATCACAGAGGGCAAGTGAGGAGGAGGAGGGACTATGAGAGGGGAAGAGGTGGTGGGCGGCAGCTGAAGCTGCTGGCACACAGCGCAACTGGAGCAACTGGCACACGGGCAACTGGAGCAACTGGCACACTGGCAACTGGAGCAACTGGCACACGGGCAACTGGAGTAACTGGCTCCGCGGCTAGACGAGCGGCAGGAGCAACTGACTCACGGGCGACTGGAGCAGCGGGATCACGGGCGACTGGAGCAACGGGCTCACGGGCGACTGGCGCAACGGTCTCACGGGCGACTGGAGTTGCTGGCTTCACGGCAGCCACCCCCCTTCGACCTCCCCAAACTGTCCCACACCCCTTTCACACGCCCACTGCTGCACCCCTAGCTCCACTCCCAACGTCACCCCCCTAGCACCACTCCCTCGGCTCCCACACACCCACCCCCCTCAGCGGCAGCTGCAGCAGTGGGAGACGGAGGAGGAGGAGGAGCAGGGGACGGCTCACACACCCGCCACCCCCATACCCGCCACCCCGCAGGTGCACGAGGGCAGGAGGGGGGGGCAGGGGCGGCTCGCGGGCTGCAGGGGCGGCTCGCGTGGGCTGCAGGGGCGGTTCGCGGGCTGCATGGGCGGTTCGCGAGCTGCAGGAGGGGCAGCGCGCGGGCCCCCCGAGGGCGCCACGGCGGGTGACGGGAGGGGGGCCGCGCGCGGGCCCCCAGGGCGTCTTGACAGGCGACAGGAGGGGGCGACGCGCGGGCCCCCAGGGCGCCGCGACGAGGCGACGGGAGGGGGGCGACGCGCGGGCTCCCAAGGCGCCGCGACGAGGCGACGGGAGGGGGCGGCGCGCGGGCCCCCAAGGTGCCGCGACGAGGCGACGGGAGGGGACGGCGCGCGGGCCCCCAGGGCGCCGCGACGAGGCGACGGGAGGGGACGGCGCGCGGGCCCCTGGGGGGCGCCTCGACTGACGACGGGGGGCGACGCGCTGGTCGACGGGGCAGGAAACCGCCGCGCGCCTCGGGGCGCACGGCGGGCAGGAAACCGCCGCGCGCCCCGAGCGCTCGGCGGGCAGAAAGCCGCCATGCGCCAGGAGCGTGTGGCGGGAAGAAAAAACGTCGCGCGCCACGGGGCGCGCGACAGACAGGACAGCAGCGGAAGCTAACGGTGGGCCCACAGGCTAGGAGCGTGACCGCTCTGATAGCATGTGAGAATTGAACGAGGAATGTTAGAACAGTGAAGAGGTGTTTGCACTAGCAGGCAGTTGAGTACATATAGGAAACCCTAATTTGGGCTGTACTCGCTATAGAGTACCCCACTGCAGGCTACACAAATATAACATTCTGACAGGATGTAGGGAGGGAGGTGAATGCGGCGCTACTGGAGGCGATCAACAGCAGCGGGCAGGAGCATCTCACTCACACAGCCACTGCTGAGCTCCTTGCTGCTTGGCCCCTTGCTGCTTGGCTCCATGCTGCTTGGCTCCTCCATTCCTCAACTGTATCTCACACGCACACTTACTCTTGAGACGTCTCTCAAGTACCGCACGCACGCTGTGAGCCTCGACGACATGCTACTGCATGCCTGGTTCATTCGCCTGCATATGAGAGCATGACGGCACTTGACCTCCCAACCTGCCCCCCTGTGACAGTACACGCTGCACGTGGCAATAGGGGTGGTGAAGACAGATGTTTGAGACGTCTCGAAATCTGAACTGGCTCCCGCAGTACACGATGCGCATGGCCGCGGTGAAGATAGAGCTGGCGCATGTGCAGGCGGCTTGGAGGTTAATTCAATCGGAAGCTTCCAAGTTGCTGCAAGAGGTGGATTTCTCCGGAAAGGAAACTATAGAAATGCTTCAAGCATGTGAATAGTCTGCTTTGGTGAACAAGCAGAATGATAGGTAGATGCACCCAAACAAAGACAACTGCATCTTTCATCTTTTATTGTACATACTGTTGGATGCACGTCATTCTGAATGCATGTCATCCTAACGTCATGCCGAGTGCTCGTGACATTTTTGCTTGCATTATTTGCATGGGCACATATCATTATGCATGGCTGTTGGATATTATCATCTCTGTATTTTTCTCCAGTTTTAAGTGCTTGGCCATGCAGGAGAAATCCAGAGCTTTCCAACGATACCAAGATCGCCTTATTCCGACCAAGATCGCCCAAGTTACAAGATTTCCAAGTCTTGGATTTCTTATTACGTTTGGGGGTTATATCTAATTTCAGTGTTTAATGGGTCATGACTATAAAGGGATTTTTGGATTGAGGTGGCTAAAAGTTTCTAGCATGGGTTGCAAATGTTGCAACACCTAGGCAAAATACAACTAGATTGGATTTTGCATATGACACCTCAAGGACCTCATGATGAGGGTTGCATCCTTGCTGCTAGAAAGTTTCTTACCATCCTTCCCTAGCTCTTGGAGAACCCCTTCCCTCTCATGGTTCTCTTGGAGTCCCCAACTCCAATATTCTATGCCCTAATGTGTGTACTTCCTTTATCATTCTAGTCATGCGGCTGCTGGACGTTTTCAATTGGTTCTCACTGTCTAGACCATCTTTTTAAGTGATTCAAGTTGGAGATGGTAGCTAAGCCTAAGGCGCAACATCCTACTGAGCGGATTTGCGTTTAGTGGAGACTTGAATTCGTAGCAAGATCTCAAAACGACGGATCCTGAACAACACATACACGCACATTATAACACTGCATACGAACGTTTTTATCGTCTTCTATGACAATTCAAGTTGCTTGAAGTAAATCAGTGTACACCTGAAACTTGGTGTACACCTGAAACATTGGCGTTCAACCCTAAAACCAGGCTGGAAAATAAAATAAAAAAACAAAAAAAAAACAAAACAAAAAACCTGAAGAATCAGCCTTTTTGACCTAAACCAACATCTTTACGCTGACTCCTGGGCGCCTTGCATTGCAAAATCAATATTGTACCAGTGGTTCCCTCCCAAACCCGTTACTTTAAACCCCGTTGAAAAAACCAGTGGCTCTATCGTTACCCTGTGTGAGTGTATGGTGCGTTCCGCCCACCACCTCTCCACACTCAGGGCAGTGAGACTCCTCCATTGCCCCACCACACTCCCAAACGCATACACATGCCCATTGTAGCACCGATACCAGTGATTTCCTCCCACGCCTATGACCTTGAAGACGTCAGCCTTCTCTCGCTCGGTCATTGCAAAGTACCGAGCTGCCCATCACGAGCGAGTACCCATCATGAAACTTGTGGAGTAACTTATGAAGAATCGGTTGACATTGTTTTTTAACCGTGTCCTTGAAATAGCCCAAGGACTCGATCCGTCATTTTAAGGTGCGCTCGAATATCTGCGATATTTCGTACCTCACAAACACCATGGTAGTCGTACCCGTAGCGCATTGCGCTCGGTTTCCTCCGCTGACGTCGTTCTTGTTTCCCTCTCCTGTCCCTCCATTTATCACGAATCGGGTGTGGCAAGCAGCGATGATGGCGACATGCATGATTGGGTGCGACGGTAGCCAGTAGCAGGGTGACGATAGCGAGCAGCGCGGCAATAGTAACGAGCGGGGTTGCATCGGTAGCGAGTAGCATGGCGACGGCAGCGAGCAGCATGGCGACGGCAGCGAGCAGCATGGTGACAATAGCGAGCAGCGCAATGATGATTGCGAGCAGCGATGATGATAGTAGCGAGCAGCGGGGCGACGTTAGCAAGCAGCGGGGCGAAGCATCTGTTCGCCGGTGGCGAAGCATCTCGCGTCCCACCCTTTCTCCTCTCGTCCCATCCATTTCCCCCTTTCCAATCCCTTCCCCTATCCAATCCCTCCCATTTTCCGATCCCTCCCCTTTTCTCACAGCTCCATCCTCCCCCTAAACTCACTGCTCCACCCTCTCCCTTTCCCACTGCCCGGGTTGCAATAGCTAAAGCCACTACGGGGTTGAAACCTCGCAAAAAGCCCTTTTCTCGTACTCGGGGCGCATCCACTCAGTTCCCTGTACAACCATCAATCTCTCCCTTCCCCCTATCATCCCTTTCCTTTCCCACTATCTCGTCCCACCATTCACCCTTTCCACCCTCTTGTCTCTCCCCATTCCCCATTTCTGTCCCTTCAATTTCCACTACTTCCCCTCATCCAGCCTAGCCCACAGCACCAAATTCTCTTGGCCAGTGCCCTCCTGTCATTCCCTCCCTTTTCCCATGCCCTTCCCTCCCTTTCTCCTTGCCCTTCCCTCCCTTTCTCCCTGTCCGTCTCTCCCTTTCCCCCTGTCTTTCCCTCCCTTTCCCCCTGTCCTTCTCCCCCTTTCCCCCTGTCCATCCCTCCCTTTCCTCCCTTTCCTTCTCCCCTTTTCCTCTTGTCCTCCTCTCCCTTTCCCCTGTCTTTCCCTCTCTTCCCCCTGACCTTCTCTACATTTCCCCCCTATCCTTCTCCCTTTGTCCTTCTCCCCCTTTCCCCCTGTCCTTCCCTCCCTTTCCCCTCTTTCCTTCTCTCCCTTGCCCCCCTGTCCTTCTCTCCTTTTCCCCTTGTTCTTCTCTCCCTTTCCCCTGTGTCCTTCTCTCCCTTTCCCCCTGTCCTTCTCCCCCTTTCCCCCTGTTCTTCTCTCCCTTTCCCCCCTGTCGGTTTAAGCTCCCGATTGTTCTGGTTCGTATACGACTTTGTTCACCCAACACGCTGTTGCACTTTACCATCCCAATTCCCCACATCCCTTTCTTGCTTTCTCCCCTTTCACAACCTTGTAGTTCCACTCTCCTGACACTCTGCTCTCACACCATCCATCCACCACTTTTGCCCCTTTCTCCCCTTTCCTAGGGATGGACACGAGGAGCATAAAGAAGGGCTTCACTTGGCATACGGCCTCTGCAATCTATTTTAATATGGTTCCGCTTGGATGATGCCATGAAGGATTTTTATAATCTCATGTTTGCCTGCCATGCGTACAGTCTATGAATGTGATATATGTATATATAAAAAAAAGCAAATAAAAATTTGCCAACCTGTCAAACTTATATGCTGCTTATTGTGTAGGCTGTAGTGGGGTAGCCCATATGGGGTACAACCCAATTAGGGTTTCTTACTTGTACCCATCCTGCTGCTAGTTAATTCATTCCTCGTTCAGGATTCTGACATGGTATAAGAGCAGGTCCTAGCCTAGGACCGTTATTTTTCGGGTCCACCATTACTTAGTGACCGACTGCGGTTACCGCGTTACCCCACGCCCTGCCCTGCGCTGCGCCGTCAGCGCGCGCCCTGCCCTGCCTTGCCTTGCGTCACACTGCCCGTGTACGCCCAGCCCTGCGTCGCGCTGCCCCGCGCACGCGCTGCCCTGCCCCGCGTCGCGCTGCCCCGCGCACGCCCTGCCCTGCCCCGCGTCGCGCTGCATTGCGCACGCCCTGCCCTGCCCTTCGTCGAGCTGCATCGCGCACGCCCTGCCCTGCCCCGCGTCGCGCTGCCTCGCGCACGCCCTGCCCTGCCCCGTGCCCTCCTGCAGCCCGCGCGTCGCGCTCTGCTGCCCCGTGCGTCACGCTCTACTGCAGCCCGCACGTAGCGCCCTGCTGCCCTGCGCGTCGCGCCCTACCGCCTGCCCGTTAGGCCCGCCGCGGGCCCTCCCTTCGCGCCGCCGCGCCTGCCCGTTACGCCCGCTGCCGCGCCCGCCCGTTACGCCCGCCACGGGCCCGCCCCTTGCGCCCGCCGTGCTTGCGTTTTGCGCCCGCCGCGGGCCTGCACTCGCTGCCCAGCACCGCCCTGCCCGTGAGCGCTGCTGCCCGCGCCAGCGCCCTGCCCTGCCAACGCGCCAGCGCCCTGCCCTGCGCGCGCTGGCGCCCTGCTCTGCCCTGCCCGAACCGCCTCTGCAGCGCCCTGTGCGCCCTGCTAAACCCTAAAATAAATTTAAAAAAAAAAAAAAAAAAAAAAGCCCTTGGTGCTTCTGCCCTAGGAGCTACTGCCTGCTACTGGCCGCGCGCCCCCCTGCTCTGGCTGCACGCCGCCGTGCTCTAGCCGCACGCTGCCCTGCTCTGGCCGCGCGCCGCCCTGCTTTAGCAACGCGCAGCCCTGCCCTGGCCGCGCGCCGCCCTTCCCTGACCGTGCACCGCCCCGACCTACCCTAGTGCCTCCTCGCCGCCATTCCTTCCCTGCGTGCTGCCCTGCTGGTCGCATGACTTCTCTTCACGGCAGCGGTGGGAGTGGTGGCGACGGTGACGGCAGCAGTGGGAGTGGTGGCAGCCGTCGTAGCAGTCGCTGTGGAGCTGTTCGGTGGGGAGGTTCTGGCGGTGGCCAGATGCAGCTGCAGCGGCGTCCGCGTGAGACCCTTACACCCCAGCAGCTTCGTGAGTGGTTTGCTCAGCGTTGGGCGTCTCAGCGTAGTAGCCGTAGTGGCAGTAGCGGTGCAGCTACTCAGCTGGTAGTTTCTGGAGGTGGCCCGGTGCAGCTGCAGCGGCGTCCACGTGAGACCCTTACGCCCCAGCAGCTTCGTGAGTGGATTGCTCAGCGTTGGGCGTCTCAGAGACGTGCTGAGGGTGACTGTTACCTGTGTGTGCCGCCCGACCCAGGTATAGAGGCTGCTGCTCTAGGTGCTAGTGAGTCTACTCTCTCAGGTACTGGTGAGTCTGCTCTCTCTGGTACTACGTCTGCTGCGGCCCTGCACACCTTCACGCTTGACTCAGGTGCTTCTCGCTGTTTCTTTCGCGACAGTACCACAGTCGCACCGCTCTCTGCACCTGTTGCTGTCTCTTTGGTTGACCCTCTGGGGGCCCAGTCCTTGCACGTTCCTCCACTGTTCTGCCATGTTCGGCGGTTCCGTCTGGCTCACTGTCAGGTCTCCACCCCCCCTCGTTCTCTACGAACTTGGTGAGCACCGCTGTCCTTCAGGATCAGTGGGTTGACACCTTCACCCCTGGACGACAGCGTGTGGCGATCTGTACGTGCTCCCGGACTGGTAGGCACCTGGCCATGTTCACCCGTCGGCCAGGGTCGAGTCTGTACACACTGACTACTGTGCCTTCTCAGGTAGCTGCGTCTGCGTCTGCGTCAGGTCAGCTAGCGGCCCCCTGCTCGTGTTGCGCCATGTCGCACCAGATGCTCCTCTGGCATCACCGCCTTGGTCACCCCTCCGTGGCACGCCTCCGTGGCATGCACTCCCGTCTCCTTGTCTCTGGTCTTCCGAGGTCTCTGCCTCCCCTCCCACCCTCGCCTGCCCCTCCCTGCCTTCCCTGTGTCGAGGGGCAGCAGCGCGCCGCTCCTCACTCCTCCTCGTTCCCCCTGACGACTGCTCCCCTGCAGACTCTCCACCTGGACGTGTGGGGCCCAGCCCGCGTCCGTGGACAGGGCCACGAGCGGTACTTTCTGCTGGTTGTCGACGACTACACGCATTACACCACGGTCTTCCCCTTGCGCTGCAAGGGGGAGGTCCCTGATGTTTTGATCCCTTGGATCTGCGCTGTTCGTCTCCAGCTCCGCGAGCGGCTCGAGACGGACCTTCCCGTCCTGCGTCTGCACTCTGACAGAGGTGGTGAGTTTTCCTCCGACCTCTTGCGGGAATTTTGTCGTGGGGAGGGCATTCGCCAGACGTTCACGCTTCCGGCCTCTCCGCAGCAGAATGGGGTTGCTGAGCGCCGCATTGGCTTAGTCATGGAGGTCGCTCGTACCTCCATGATCCATGCGGTTGCCCCCCATTTTCTGTGGCCGTTTGCAGTCCAGTACGCTGCGCATCAGCTCAACCTCTGGCCCCGTGTCTCCTTGCCGGAGACCTCGCCCACACTGCGTTGGACGGGGGAGGTTGGCGATGTGTCGGTGTTCCGGGTCTAGGGATGTCGAGCCTTTGTCTACGATACGTCCGCGGACAAGCTCTCCTCCCGTGCCGTTCCCTGTGTCTTCCTTGGCTTTGTCCCTGACGCGCCTGGCTGGCAGTTTTACCACCCCACCTCGCGCAGTGTCCTGCCCTCTCAGGACGTCACGTTTGATGAGTCGGTTCCCTTTTACCGTCTCTTCCCCTACCGCACTGCCCCTCTCCCTCCCCTGCCGCTCTTCCTCGCACCAGGTCCTCCTCCGGTAGACCCCCTCCCCCCTCAGGGTCCTGCTCCCTCAGGTGTGTCCCAGGTAGACCCTGTCGAGCCTGTCGAGGTAGCTGTCGACTCTGGTGCTGCTAGGGGTACTGCGTCTGGGGGTGCTAAGCTTGGGTTTGCTGAGTCTAAGGGTGCGGAGCCTGGGGGTGCTGAGCCTGAGCGTGCGGAGCCTGGGGGTGCTGAGCCTGAGCGTGCGGAGCCTGGGGGTGCTGAGCCTGAGCGTGCGGAGCCTGGGGGTGCTGAGCCTGAGCGTGCTGAGCCTGGGGGTGCTGAGCCTGAGCGTGCTGCGCCTGGAGGTACTTTGTCTTCTGGAGGTCCTCCGGGTGTCTTGTCACGGCGGGGACACTCTCTCCACCGCAGCCTCGCGAGTGGTTTGCTCAGCGCTGGAGACTTCAGAGTGGCACTGCTGGAGCCGGTGGTGCTGCTGGTGCTCGAGGTGCTGCTGGAGCTGGTGCTACTGGAGGTGCTAGCGCCGCTGGTCCCGGAGGTGCTCGTACTGGAGGTACTGGAGCTGCTGGAGCTGGAGGTGCTGCTGGAGCTGGAGCTGCTCGAGGTGCTAGCGCCGCTGGTCCAGGAGGTGCTCGTACTGGAGGTGCTGGCGCCGCTGGTCCAGGAGGTGCTCGTACTGGAGGTACTGGTGCTACTGGAGCTGGAGGTGCTGCTGGAGCTGGTGCTGCTGGAGGTGCTGGCGCCGTTGGTCCCGGAGGTGCTCGTACTGGAGGTACTGGAGCTGCTGGAGCTGGAGGTGCTGCTGGAGCTGGAGCTGTTGGAGGTGCTGGAGCCGCTGGTCCCGGAGGTGCTCGTACTGGAGGTACCGGAGCTGCTGGAGCTGGGGGTGCTGCTGGAGCTGGAGCTGCTGGAGCCGCTGATCCCGGAGGTTCTCATACTAGAGGTACTGGAGCTGCTGGAGCCGCTGATCCTGGAGGTGCTCATACTGGAGGTACTGGAGCTGCTGGAGCCGCTGATCCCGGAGGTGCTCATACTGGAGGTACTGGAGCTGGGAGTGCTACTGGAGCTGGAGCCGGAGGTGCTGCTGGAGCTGGAGCTGCTGGAGCTGGCGGTGCTGCAGGAGGTACAGCTGGAGCCGCTGGAGCTGGAGCTGGTGGAGGTGCTGGGCCTGGGGGTGCTGGTGCTGTGGGTGCTGGTTCTGTAGGTACTGTGCGGCCGCGACTGTACTTCTTTCCTCTGCTTCAACAGGTACTTGGTCTCCCTCCTTCTACTGGCCTTACTCATCCCTTACTGTGTCCACCGCCTGACCAGTCCCAGCCGCAGTTACAGCCAGCCTCCCCGCTGCCTGCTCCGTCTCCTTTCACTGAGCAGCCCGGAGGTCTTACAGAGCGTCGTGAGGCTGCGTCTCGTCCTGCGTCGCCTGTTCGCGCTGTTCGCGCTGGTCGTCGTGTTCCGCGCCAGCGTCCTCCTCCTGTCCCCGGCACACACCAGATGGCACTTCGTCCTTTCTCTGTTCCACTGCGTGTCCCTCTGCCGTCTCCTCCTGCGTCCTCCCTTGCTGACGGTCTGGACCCGGAGTCTGACTCCCTTCGTGCTGCTAGTCCTACTGTCACGCGTCTACTGGCCACTGTTGTCACTGACCCTTCGTTTGAGTCTACTGCTGCGTCTGCTCTTGTTGCTGAGCTGGTAGACTTTGCTGCTCGCTGTCGTCTTGACTACGCCGCTAGTCTTGTTGCTGAGTCTGAGTTTGTCTGTCCTCCGTCCATCGGGGGTGAGTGTGCTCTTGGCACGGACGTTCTTGAG